TTTATTATTTGTTTGTTTAGTGTTTTTAATGAATTGAATGGATTGATGGATGAACTGACCATATGGTGAGCCAGAAGTCGCTTCCCTGATAAAGCACTTGAGAGACGACTATCGATGAGAGCGTAACGAATATAAGGAAACATCCGGCGCCGGCCTTCATATAATCCCAATATATACTGGAATCGATTGAACCGATCATTTTGGTCTCGCCTTTCAGTTTTGGTTCGTCTTCTTCGGCGATCACGTCTCTGATCTCTTCGTGCGATACTTCAGAGCCGGCAATACTGCTCGCCAGCGATGGCGTAAACGACACGCTTCTCTGCATTCTTCTATATTCAGCCAATTGGTCAGTCTTCGGGTCGTGTGGTTTCGTATCGCTTAAGTATTGCATGAAATTAACGCCAGATTCCATCAACTCTTCGTAAGTGCCGAACGCCACACATTTGCCTTCATTTAGGACTAGTATCTTATGAGCCTCTCTCAGGAATTGGATCTGATGTGTGACTAATATGCGGGCCTTATCTTTCAGGTACTCCATCGCACATCTAATATAGCAATCGGTGGTTAAGTATGAACTAAATGTTGTCAACAATAATAATCAATACTTTTGAAAGAGATGTTTAGCGATGTGACTAATATGCGGGCCTTATCTTTCAGGTACTCCATCGCACATCTAATATAGCAATCGGTGGTTAAGTATGAACTAAATGTTGTCAAAACTAATAATCAATACTTTTGGAAGAGATGTTTAGCGACGTGTGCGTCCACTGCCGACAGCGGGTCGTCCAATAGGTAGACGTCTGCCTCATGGTATAGGGCTCGGGCTAATGTGATCCGAGCCTTTTGGCCTCCACTTAACGACACTCCGCGTTCACCGCAAAGAGTTTTGTCACCGAATGGGAACAGTTTGAAGTCCCTGTCCAGAGCGCACACGTGAACCACTTTATTATATTTCTCTTCGTTATATTCAGAGCCGAAGAGGATATTGTCTCTAACACTGGATATGAAAGCCCAGGACTCTTGCGGTGCGTACGAGACTTTGCCCCTCACTTCCAGCGAACCGCCAGTTAGTGACAACTCATTGAGGATTGCCATCAATAGTGAACTCTGTTTTATAGACAATTTTCTTTATCACAACTGACAGTAAATGGATTAATAATTTGCATACCTTTCCACTGCCGACCGGTCCAATCACTGCCAATAATTCACCCGATTTTACGCAAACACTCAGATCTTTGATTGTGGGCTCAATTATCTCCTATAGATATGTATCAATAGTTATATTTAATAAATATCTAATTAATATTCAGTGAGTAATAATTTTTGCATCAAAAAGTTATCTGAAAATAATTTAATATCTAATCTGCAAAACATTAATAAAATGAAAAAATTCTCACATCATTCCAACGAACGCTCATATTATTAATAAAAACTCCTTTTTCTTGTGAATTGTCTTTTATAATATCGTTTCCATTGTTTTGCAAAATACTCTTTCCGTTCGATTCACTCTTTTTCTCAGATTTATATTCAATTTCTTTGACAGAATCAGTGATTTCTTCGAGAAGTAAGAAATCCTGTAACAAAATAACCATTTGTTAAATAATTGAATAACCAATAAGAGTGGACACCAATACCTGAATCCGATGGCAGGCAACTATGAGTTCAGCGATGGCGGCGATTCCCGCCGGAAAGTGTTTGGTTAACGTGTTTCTCAGTGTATTAAAGAAAGCCATTGTAACGAATACCGATTCTGCCGACAGTTTTCTACCCATATATACATAAGTTATAAAACACGCGAATAGTATAACACGAGAGGCGACGAAATAAAATGACAAATTGATTGCTTTTAGAAGACTTGATTGTCGGATGCGATCCACTTCTTTACTGTAATATTAGATCATAAAATAGCTGTTAATTATTTTTATCACAATCAGTAAGAATGGTGTTGTCATACAGTCTCGCGTCGGCCACTAAGTCCTGGAAGGGCTTCTCCCAGGTATACATTTTAATCACTCGCATTCCGGATATGATTTCGTTCATAATCCTAATCCTAGTGTCTGTGAGTTGAGCCGTCTGTCGCCGCACACTTTGAAACAGACGTCCCATAAGGCCCTGGAATGGGATGAATAGTATGATGACTCCGAGTCCCGAAAAACAGGCCCAACTCAAGTGCTCCCAAAGCAGGAACAGAATCACTGCCGACTGAATCGGTGCCACAAATAACGAGTGAACAGTAAATGCAAACTATATTAAAATGCAATTTAATTTGAATTAATAAAATATACATTTGTAGTAATGCGTGAAAAACCTCATCAAATCTGTTGACATCATTGGACATCATATTAAGTATTTGTCCGACTGTTGTCTTTCCCATCGCTGAACGGCTTAATTTCATTGACTGCGAGAAAACAATAGATATTTATTTAATTAGTTATTTAACAGTTGCAATGATATGTAAACTAATGCCAAACCTTTTTGAACATAAGTGCACAACAGGCCACTCTCATCCTCATCCCAGTCTTCATGAGATAAGTGAAGTTCAAGTGATTGAGAGTAACACAACCGGCAGAACACAGGACAACACCGGCGGCACAATAGGCGGCGTCCGTATACGCGATGTGCTGTTTCTTCTGGAAATATCTGACCACATATCCCAAGAGCACGGGTTGGGCCACACGTATCACCGCTTCCTTCGCGAGTAATTCAATTTTACAATCAATTTATTTAAGTTTAAGTTTGCGTTGAATTTACTTGAAATATAAAGAGCAGAATCCATGGAATGAATTCAAAGACGAATGCCTTGAATAGAGCCCAACCAAGACTTGGCTTTTTCGAGTTTAACTGTTTAATCCATTGCCTTTGGGTTTCAAATCAATATTACAGTATTTACAACATGTTTATTGTAATATATCATATAATTATTAATTTACTTTTCAAGTTTGTCTCTAACTTTATCAGCAGTGTCATTTTCAGCACATTTATATAGATCTTCAAAATCTAGATCCTTTCGGTGACCCAAAACAAATATATTCCAAACCCAACTATAATTATATTTAAGATTTATAATTAATGTTTATTTATTTTATTTAATGACATAAATTAGTGTTATTATAAATTATAATTTATTATGTTAAAACAATGACCCAAAACAAATATATTCCAAACCCAACTATAATTATATTTAAGATTTATAATTAATGTTTATTTATTTTATTTAATGACATAAATTAGTGTTATTATAAATTATAATTTATTATGTTAAAACAATTTTTATTAAAAAACAAAAGTATAAATATTCACATAAAATATGATAAGTAAAAAGCAAAGAATATAATAAGCACATGGTTATTTATGACATTAATTTATTTTATTATTGTCAAATACTATTATTAAATATTTATTTTATTAAAGTTAAAGTAACAAACAATTATAATATTAATTAAAATAATTTAAACAAAACTTTACCTGAAAGTGATTTTGGATACAATACTGATTCTATCCCACGGCGAGGGCTTTATAATAAGTTCTTGACTTTCCATTAAAATACAATTAAAATACAATTTTCTTAAAATAAAACAATTAACAAATAGTTTTGCAGAGTCTTTAGTCTTGAAACTCAAGTGACAATAAACTGACAATTGGTGTCGATTTTTAAAGGATTTCGTATAGATTTGAAGACAATAATCAAAAGATAAGCATTGATAAGACGATCGGAAGAATTTAGCCATAATGTGTAAAGTTATAAAAACGATTTGATTTTAATGTTAAACAATAAAAATTAATTGTTTTATCGTTTTTAAATGCCTTATCTGAGAAGGAATCAGATATTTTATCTCAAAATGTTAACTGAGATCATAATGTGTAAAGTTATAAAAACGATTTGATTTTAATGTTAAACAATAAAAATTAATTGTTTTATCGTTTTTAAATGCCTTATCTGAGAAGGAATCAGATATTTTATCTCAAAATGTTAACTGAGATGAGATTTTATCACTTATTTTCCATTATTTAATTGCCGGCAATCATAAAGATTGTGTCCAAACATGACATCCGTTCTTCACGTGATTTCATATTTAATAATAAGAATCATATTTTAATTTATATTTTTATACTTTTAAAATTCATTAAGTTAGTTTAGAATTATTTATTAATTTATATTGAATATTCAAAATAAGGATATATACAAAATGAAATGCTTTAAATTATCATATGTGGGATAAACCAATTTAATATCCAATTACTCCAATTATTTAATACTTTATAAACAAATTAAATATTTTGCAGACATTTTTAAATAACTACAGTTATCACGATATTTATAAACTATTGAATAATTTAATCAGTGATTTAATCATTTAACTTATATTTACTATACAGTATATTAACGTATGGTAATTTTTATAAATTAAATTATAATATAACTTCAACTATTTAAATGTTCAAAAAGTTGTAGTCCATAAACAGCAAGTTTATGGTTAATGTTAACGGTTTCAAAAGGGTATTCATTAGAAGTGCAATGAATTACTCTTCAATTCATTGCACTTTTAGTGAGGAAATTCAAATTCCGTCAAAGAATTGTGACTTTAAGTGCAGAAATTGTAGTCAAATTCTTCGTATTTTAAATCAATATATCATAAAAAGTGTGTGAAAAACAATCTCAAGATTATAATAAAGGTTTATTACATATATTATTATCTCTAATTGATTCGTGTTTTAATAATCAACTTTTAATTGAGTTTCTGATAACAAATCATAAATAAAATAATTAGACAAAAAGATAATTAACCGATTTATTAATTATTTTATGATTTTGTTATTTACCTGTTTATTAAGTGCTGGTTTCAAAATCAACTTTAAAGCTAATTATATGATTAAACTATATGTGACAATAGGTGTGAAATTAATTCCCTGTTAAATAGTTATTTCACAATTAATTACAAACAATTTATTATATTTATATCAAAAGTATCGCTATTTATTTGTAACAAAAAATAAATTACATTTCTTAAGTAAATTAAATTAATATACGCTTTCATTAGATTACAACCAAATTACCGGTATTTATAATTTCATTCAAAATACTTTATATTTATTTTTTAAATAAGTATCAAAATATAATTGGTATAAATATTTAAACACAAAAATATTGGTCATCTTATAGTAAATCAAAAACTAATTAAATATATATTAATTCATCACAAATGACACAACGGTTCCCATCAGTGATCACTTGTCTTCAAAGAGATGAGTTGATCCGTTGAATGAGTACATCTCTCACATCGCACTAATGGGCACTCATTTGTCGCTATTATTGCATCGATTAATGTCTTAAACACAGCTGAAGAACAATCAGGTGAATGAGACGTGAGATCAGTTGTTAAGGAATTATCTCCAGAACTAAGAGATATGAGATAAGAGAGACCACAAAAACCTCTTCTCATTCTCATTGAAAAAACAATAAATTTAAAACGACTTTACAATTGATAATAGATATCAATAAATTTGATTAAAAGTCTATTATTAAGCAAAGAGTGAAAAACAGTTTACGGGAAGAAAAAATTCAATTGTCGGCTAATTTTAAGGTCACTTTAAAAGGCACTCAAAAAACAGATCCCAACAGAAAAAACGACAACAAAATTATTGTTTGCTTTTAATTAACCAAAAGATGACTAAATATATATCAATGGTATTCCACTCTTGAGTTGCCATCAATTGTCTGAAATTATATTTAATCAAATGAAAGACAATGAGATTGATTGCGAAGACCATCGATAGTGTGGACCGGTATATGAGGGGCCGGTTGTGGCCGACGTCCGCATAGATGGCAAACCTGTGACACAAGTGGTCGACAATGAGTGTAATGAGTGGTGAGAAGTGTTTGCGATTGAGTCTTAAGGCCAGCCATACGGTGACAATCGTGGAGAGGATGGCGCTGTCGATGACCACAGCGTTGATGGCGTCCACCGATACCATCGCCAACACGTGTATCGCATAACTCGTGGTCAGTGTCCGCAACACTCGTCCCTCGACGGCCATCAAGTGATCCACTTCTTCGCCCATTATTGCCAACACTTGGTTCACCAATTGTCTCAACTGTCCGTCCATTCAAACACACGGATCGCCGGATCAGTTCATCGATTGAGTCCAAGAGGTTTGCAATGCTTTTCACAAACAATAATACAAACACTGATTGCATAACACATCACGTGATTTGTCAATACGTTTGGCATCATTCAAACACACGGATCGCCGGATCAGTTCATCGATTGAGTCCAAGAGGTTTGCAATGCTTTTCACAAACAATAATACAAACACTGATTGCATAACACATCACGTGATTTGTCAATACGTTTGGCAGTGAAATAAGCGCTGATTTTGAAGGCTTTATAATTTCAATCATTTATAAAGTTATAATTGTTTGCGAAATAATATTGATTTTTTACATAATAAGTCTTGTAATTTGTATTTATATTTTATTTAATCATAATTGTTATCAAAATATTAACACATTTTTATATAAATTTCCAAATATATTAAATTGTAATCAATTCCCATATTCAATAATAATGTATTTAAGTAATAAATTAAATGTAAAACTCAATAGGTTTTACCATCAATTCATTAGTTTACGATTTGACAGACAATGAGATTCAATGACTATAGGAAAAAGTGTTATAAAACAAAATTAAGGTCAGTTTCAATTATAAATTCAACTTTTAATCGCTAACATCTTTTAAATTGATTAACGGATCAAATCATTGATTTCATTGACAGCAGTCATGTATAGTTTCCAAACCGATTCCAACTGTTCTCTGGCCTCTCGTTGCTGTTCACACAATTCAGTCAATCGGCATATCATTGCCTGTCTATCAATTTCGTACCCTTTTTCTAGTTCCGTCTCATTCTTGGCCTTCATTTCCAAATTATTCATTTCGTCGTCGATTTGTCTCATTGTTTGGATCCGTTGTTCAAACAACTTGTCGTCGGCCATCATATTCTTGCGCAGAGTTTGGCCGCTTATCTCTTGCGTTTTCATCGCATCTTTTAAACGCTTTATCTTGTCTTCGAGACTGCATAGCATTGAATCGTTTACAGACAACGTCTCGCACTCCCAACCAATACATTCAATGTCTTTCAACTCTTGAGACAACTTTACCGCCGATGGCGTTAACCATTGAGACGCCTCTATCAAGCGGTCCGCCGAAAGCATTAATCTCTTATACAACTTCTCTAACTTTTGATGGTTTCGTTTAGCCTTCGTTTCCCTCTTCTTTGTGTTGGTCTGTATTTGTTCCGCACTTTTAATCGGCTTTTTATCCAACAATTTATGCTTTTCGACGTCTATTTCCCTTACTTTCAAGCCTTGCTTAACATACATGATCTTAAGTGAACGCAACTCTTCCTGAATATGATGTTCAGCGCGTCGTCTCTTTGTGTAAGACTCGGCCCACTCTATCATCATTTGGGGAAAAGTCTGTTTCTCACTCTTGTTGGCCAACAGATCCATGAGCTTCTCTTTGGCTGCGGTCTCAGACTTAGTTAAATTTAGTGAGTCCTTCAGGCCCTCAAACATAGGGTCATCACTAATGCGAACCAATAGTAGATAATAGAGGACAACGCAGAGACCCTTTATTACTCTAGTCGTGCGAACGGGTCGCGGGTCCGCCACATCCACGTAATCCAAGTCCACGACACCCACTTTGGCCACAAAATAAGACATCGATCGGTATATATTGGTCAACATTA